ACGGACGGACAGACAGACATCCGGATTTCAACTCTACTCGTCACCCTGATCACTTTGGTATATATAACCCTATATCTGACTCCTTTAGTTTTAGGACTTACAAACAACCGTTATGTGAACAAAACTATAATACTCTCTTTAGCAACATTGTTGCGAGAGTATAAAAACGTGTTTTAGTGAAAACCTTGGACGAAGCAAAAAACGAAAATTGGACTTTTGTCTGATATTTTTACATTTCGGTGAAAATTTCGCGATATTTTCATTTTTCAAATAGTTGTAATCGAAAAAAGTTCTTCGTCCAAGTCTTTAAGAATTGTATCTAAACACCTGTGTAAAATTTCATGAAGAAAGGTCGAATAGTTCTCGATAAATCTTACCAACCGATTTCAAAAACACAGTTCCGAGAAAAACGCGTTTAAAGACGGCGCATTTAGCCTAGCTAGCCTCGAGCGCACAAGTTCTCAAGTCTGTATCTCCAAAATTATTACTCGGGTCAACTCGACAATTTGGGACAACACCTCTAGAGTGTGTTATAGAATTTAATAGGATAAAAAAAATCGATTTTTTGAAACCCGTAAACCCATGTAACCCCTTAACTTCTCTAGACTATAATAGCTTGTGAAAGAAAAATAAACATTTTAATCAATCGATAAAGGTGAGATCCAAGAATCCGGTACATACTTGGTTCTTATTTAAACCCCGCTTCAGCTTTGAGTTATAGTCTTACTCGGAAAAAATTTGCAAATCTTACCATTAGAAAATTTAAACATATTTTAAGACAACATTAGAATTCTTCGGATGAGGTAATGTCAAATGTCTTTAGATTTAGAATAATTTGTGAAAGAAAAAGATACAATATTTTTATTGCGATAAATTCAAGTATGAAAATGTTCCGCTATTTTTGGTTCTCATTTGACAGTTGTGACGTCATAAAATAAACAAAATATGTCAAAACAAGCAGTGCAAACATGTTTATGATAAAGGACAATATATAGACTTCCACAATATACACGTAGTTTCTTTAAATAGGTAGTTGTTTTTTAAAGTAATAAATGTATCACTGGAAACATCAAAATCAATCGTTTAATTTGCAATTAGCTTGTTGATAGGCTCAACAAATTACTTAATTTAGTTCTTCTTTTTTATATAACGATTTTACCAAAATATTCCAGTTTTGTTAAGCAGTCACTATGTTAATTTGACGGCTGAAAATTTTACTTTGTCACCTCTTCTAATTGATATGAGTGAACGTGACGCAGCCTTTGAATTCAAATTCTTGATAAGGTCAATGTTATAACATTTAGGCCCACTACCTTGTTTGTGGATGATTTATGATAATAGTCTTCCCTATTTCCGTTATCGTTTCCAAGTTGTAGTCGTGGACGATTTCGTTCTTCAATTCGAATTCTTGAAGAAAAGGTATCGCAATTTTAAATAAAAATTAAGAGCTCAGTGTTTGTATCCAAAGTTGTTTTTGTTGTTTTGCAGAAAATATTTGAACCATTTTGTGAATTTAAGTATAATAAATATTATACAATATTAATAACTCCTTTTCCTGTTGCTATAGTTTGGGATTTGTTGTGTGTCATTTATATTTTAATATATTGGATAGTCCAAAAAGTTTCTTTTTCTATTTTGTCAATAGACACATTGTTTCAACCCATATAGAGTTGGAAAGGTAAGATTTTGACCTTCATTTAACCAAAAAAAATTTAATTTGGGGAAGTCGAGAAAAAGTTACAGCTGTTCAAAATTTGTTTCAAAATAATGAAGAAATTCGCTATATTTTGAAATTTTTGTATTAAAAAAACCCCCACCAATGAAATTTTTTAAGTTTACGGAGACAATGCTGTATCAGTTCGTGTAGCACAACAATGTTTCGCTCACTTCCCTTCCGGAATTTTTATGTGAAAGATGCACCTCGTTCTAGTCGATGAATTTATGCAAAAGATTGACCAGGACCGTCATATAAGCTCCAAACAGTTTTGAACCATTTAGAAAAGGTGTCTACAAAAAGGGGCTCGATGTTGGGCGCCACATGAATTGTCTGTGAAAATTTAATGGACCGAAGTAACATCTGCGAGGCGAAAGGTAATAGGAGAACAAAAGTGGATCAAATACGATAATACTTGTTGCGAAAAAGATCGTGGTGAAGTTCAACAAATGCTCACAAAGCCAGGATTGACGCCTCGAAAGGTTATACTAAGTGTTTGGAGGGATTTGAAAGGGATAATCTAACATGAGCTGCTCCAGCCTGATCGAATGATTGATTTTACATTTTACTGTCAACAACTGATGAGATTGAAGAAATCAACCGAAAATACGGACAGAACTGATCAACAGGAAAGACTTTGTTTTCCATCAGAACAACGCTGGACCATACACGTTTTTGATGACTCGGCAAAAACTGGGAGAGCTTGGCTGGGACTTTCTGATGCAACCATTATATGGCCCTTACCTTGCACCATCGTACTACCATTTATTTCGTTCAATGCAGAACTTCCTTAATGAAGTAAAGTTGACTACGAGAGAAACCTGTGAAGATTACTTGCGGAGAAACCAGACAATTTTTATGTATGGAATATTTTTTCTGGGGAAAGAATGGTAAGAAATGGTTTGTATTTGGTTCATTGTTTATAAAAAAAAAAAAATATGTTGAAGTTTAATTAGAAATACGAAAAGACTTTTTCGACTACCCTATATATCGCCCTCAATTATTGCAATACCAAATAGCGAAAGTTTCTATACCCGTTTCAAAATGGGGAATTCCAATTTATTTTCCATAAATGTCTATAACACCAACAGTAATGCCACATAGACGTTCTTAATTCGTTTTAGTAATAATTATAGAGACATATGTAGATCCCACTGGTAACCCATTATTTAAAATTATATGGGGGTTGGAATTTTGTAGTAGTTGTAAGTTGTTTATGGATCAGGCCTACGGCAGTTACAGCTATTGAAACGTACAACCTTCGCGGCGTGATTGTGTGTGTGAAACCTTTTTTTTTACTGCCGCTAAGATAAATGCGTACAAATTAAGCGTATTTAAGTATTCACATCTTATCACTATGACACTTCGTCACTTAGTGAAAGCGCCCGGAGCGTATAGCTTTAAGCGTCAACTATTTCAAAATTTTTATTTGATAAGCACAATAAAGGAAGATAGAACTAAGCACCTTATTAAAACAAAAATAATAAATAGCAATACAACTAAATAAATTATCAAAATAAACGATCGTTAAACACACTTACTGCACGAAAGCACGTATACAAATTTAAAAACGAGCAAATCTATTATACATCAAAAATGTTGACTTCAACGGAACGCCTCGACGCAACGATCAGTTCAAAGCACAGTGACTATGGCAGCACAACGTTAAAAAATCGCGCTCCAACAACTAACGGTCAAGAATCAACAGACGAAATACACATTGACGACGCCGCTGCACTAGTATCGTGCGAAAAGAACAGCGATCACATCAATAGTGACCAGTCTACGGAGAATTATCATTCCAGTGAAAGTGCGACAGCTAGTGGACCCGATCGCGCCTATCAGAGTCGCACGAATCCGCTGACAACTTACACTTCAAGTCTTTTTGCGGCCGCGAGTAGTGTGTCCTCGCCGTCGCGTTTTCAAACACGCCAATCCCGTTATCCGCGTTACGCCTACAGTAAAATGGATTCGTATATCGATGAGAAGTCCACCGCTCCGAAATCCTTTTGGAAGACGGCTGCATTTCTACATTTCGAAACATTTCTATTTATTTTGAATCAAATGTGCATCGGTTTTGTGACCATCTACATGAGCTGGCTGTGTATCACCAGAGGTTTGCAGAATACCCCGTTGCATGCGTGGTTGGTGACACTCGGAGTAAGTGATCCAAGTGTTTTACAAATATTTAAATACTACACATATAACATAGGCTATTGAAGTGGTGCGCGGATATGTTAAATACGTTCGATTTAAATCAATTTTTAAAATTACTAAAAAAAAAGTTCTGTAAGCATAATTGTTTATTGATTATGTTAAAAGTTTTGAAACATATTTGTGAACACAATGATACTAGGATTTGGATAACCTTTTACACATTTAAGTCTAATTTATTCGCATTAGTGACCTACAACATGACCACTAGAGCGTGTCGACTTACTGCCAGCCAAAAATTTACACAATCTTCTATTGATTCGAATTGTCCACTAGCCATAAACAGATACGATACCCCTCCTATTGGCCAAAACTGGCCGTTTTGGGTGATTGACTAGGCAAATTTTTTGGCCTAATTTAAGCAGTTCATAGTGGATGAGATGGTTGTGGGATTGGCACCAACTCTTCGTTTGAGGTTGACGTAAGCCCATCTTTTCGTGATTTTATTCTTTCCGGATCGTTTGGATCGTTTTGTTGTGATTCAACACGAGATTTGCGTATGAAAATTCCGTTAGCATGTGACAACCATACATATAGGTTCTGATTGCATCCAGTATTTTTTTCCAAACGGATTTTCATGCAATGCTTCTGGGTAATAGAAACAGTGTCTGATGGTAGGTCTCGACTATTTCTATTATTTTATCGATACTTTCCACAGATGTGCCTCCAATGCGTGGTGCTTCTTTCGACATCAACTGTATCAGGGCTATAATGATTATTCAAATTTTTAAGTGCTTGGTTTACGTTTTTTGTCTTTATTGAAAAAAAAAAACTTAAAAAGTTTTTCTTTGATGGTGTCCATTTTTGCTCAATTAATATTGAGTCAAGCACCCACAATACTGTCTCAGACATTTTGCAAGAAAGTGGCAACCATCACCAAATATTTCTGACATCGTTACTATTTTAGTTTTATATTCAAAATTTTTTAATAAAATATAATTTTAATTAGGTGGCAAGCCTACTCAAACAATTTTAATTGTTAATCTGGTTAAATTGCCTTTGCTCAACAACCTCATTGTGTGAATTCATTCATCTTTTAAATGTTATTGCATTGCAATTTTTAAACAGATGATATCACCGCACAAAATATTTTCATTTGTTGGTTAAAATTGTTTAAATTTATGTTTATAATAAAATTTTTTGACATTGGTTTACTTAAATTTGTAAACAGAGGTAGTCTCAAGCCTTCTGAAATCGTGTTAAATTTATAACTATTTTGTAATTACCTTTTTAAAAAGAGGTATTGCATACAATTTTATAAAAAGGTGGTGGTAGCCCCCTTTAAAAATATTTTTAATAGTAAATCAGTTTATTTTGGTTTCGAAAGTTAACTAAATAAGACTAAATTTCTTTATAAAAATGAATACAATCAAAAACTAATTTCGTAGAAAACATTTATTTTTTAATTTAAATGTAAGCAATAAACATCAAAAAGATATATGTACATACACAACTAAATTCTATTAATTTCTATGAGTTATTACGTTTAGCATTTGTCAAATAAAATTCATAACCCCCACTGAACGATAACATTAATTGCTTATGCGATTTTTGTGCATGTGTGAGTATGCATGTGTTCGGCTATAACTCACACACACTGTACTCGGTTAACGTCGCGTAAAATGATCACTCACATTAAATGCCTAAAAGTATGCAACAAACGCTTACGGAATTTATTTTACTCGGCTCTAAATCCAACAACTTCTCGTTTCTGTTCGCCTAGTACTCACTGTTGATGGCTGAAGCGGTAATGATACACTACAACGCCAATCCGCTGACGTCACACTACAAACGGCATGAGAAGCACACAATACACTGGGTGCTGCAGCTAGCAGGCGGCGGACTGGGCATGGGCGGTACGCTATATAAATGCATACAGAAGGGTTTTTTGCTATCGAGCACGCATGGCAAGCTGGGTAAGTGGCTGCGAAATAGTTATTATTTATTTCTTATTTTATTTCACTTATTTGTAAAGTTATTGCACAAGTGACAACAATTTATTACATTCTTATTTTTTAATTATTGTTTAAATATTAAATTTTCTAGAAATCCATATATTGTGTTTTGCTTAATTTATATAAAATAGATAATTTAGACAAAATTTATTTGATTTAGCTTATTGTTTCAAAATTTATCGTATCTCTGCAAAGGTTTTTCCTCATTTATCTTCTGCTTGGTGTCTTGGCTGAGCGGTTTAACCGCGCTTTATCAACTCAAAATGAAGGGTTGTGTACGTCCATTATTTAATCGCACATTCCACAACTTGATCGGACTCACTTGCTTCGTACTAGCGCTTCTAGCACAATTTTATGGTTATCAAACGGGTTTCTTTAAAAGTGCTCACCCAGATGGCTCCACGCTCCCCATTTGCATGAAAACCATAACACTAATTTCGCTGGTGCTCTCTTGTATTGGACCAATAAAGGCGCTGCTGCAGAAGATACGGATCATTGTAAGAGACTAATATTTCATACATTTTGTGGTCATCAGTCTGTATTTGGACGTCCGCATACAATATGTAAATTAAATATTTATAGTTTATAAATTGTAATATATTTGCACATTACAATCTTTCATAACATTCTCTGTAAAATTGTATTTATTATTATCATTTAAAATTAATATTAAATAAATCCTAAATAAATCATTTAATTTGTACTTTTTTAAGAAGGGTTTCAGTTTAGTCCTTTTATTTATTGAGAAATTTAGAAAACAAATGAAATATTTAAATAAACTTCACTACAAATACGGATGCTCCACGTTTGATTTAAGATCGTCATCTTCATATTCAAAGGTCCATGAAAGGTCCCTGTGATTACGTTATTCAAAAATTGGAGGTCACTTTCACACATGCTCAAATTTTCTTGATACACTTCCATTCGCCGTAATTTCTGACCGTCAGTGAGCCCTTTTGGGACCATCCTTACACTTGTTCAAATGCTCCGTCACCATCTCATGAACCGCAGATTTTGATACATTTAACATCTAAGTAATTAAACTTAGACTTATAATACTTAGTCCACGGTCTGAGTTCAAAATTTTGCGTACACGAGTCACATTGTCGGTGTATATTGCAGTCGCAGGTCTCCCAGTACAGTCTTCATCAGCGAACTCTTCCCGGCCCTCCAAAAAGGTCTGTTGCTACCGAAACACACCACTTCTTGCTAAAGCAACATGTGGGTAAGCCTTCTTGAACAAAACTAACGCCTCTGTCCAAGATTTATCGAGTTTCACACAGAATTTAATCGCGTACCTCTGCTCTAACGAAATCTGCATTTTGGCTTGCACCACTCACAGAAACATGTCGCACGAAAATGTTTGCCTTGAAAGCGCGACCCCGTGAAAAGTTTATCCCTTAGCCCAAGCTAACCTCTTCTCTTCTTTCTTCGGTTGGACTTGCAGCTGAGTCTATAATACACTTTCACCGCCGCTATATACATATAGCTTTCGCCTTCAATACCTCCTTGCGTGGTTTTGTCATGTTCATAGTCTTCTATGTCGAATCAGCACCATCGGCAATCCTCGAAAAGCGTAGCAACGCTTATTCTACGATAATGTTAACGGTTTGGAGATGCGAGTCTCAAGGACCTTACCAACTCGTCGCTGTAAAACGGGTTTGACAGTACACTACGACCCCAGCAGAGGTGTGACGTCACCGCTAATGGACTCATTGTGCCGACTATGGTAGCAGCCACTTTTTGCAACGACGTTTTAGCTGATATCTCAGCCCGCTTTTTATCCATGTTCTCCTCCATGTTGAGTTTTATTTTCAGGAAAACTCTATCCCTATCTCATTCTCGCATAGCAAGGTAACCAGGACGCAAAGGTGACGCCCAAATTTTCAGCTTGGTACCACAACCCTAATGCTACTATAGATTTGTGTAGAACAATTAACTTATAAGATATCAAAACAAACTTCGAATACAGATATAGTACTTTCTGGTGTCTTACAAGAATTCACAACAAATTTCACGCAATCCGCGTAAAGATCTTAGATCTTATTGAAGCTCTTCAAACCACGTCTATTCATATAAAACTTTATACAAAAAACAATGCATCATATCGACAGTGAGGGCAGAGTGGAATAATTAAACAGCGGCGGCAAAGGTGGAAGCGCCGATAAGTTGCCAAGAAAGTATCTGGCTGTAACAAAATCAATCACGGCTGCAATATGCCTGCCAGTACATAGCTGCGGCTTGACACAATGATAAAGACATTGAGAAGCAAAGATAAAAACTACAAAACAAAAATAAAAAAAACAAGCATATTAATCACGAGTCGATGTCGTAGTGGAGTGGAGACGCAATCGGCCACATGCAATGGAAGGCGATGATGATACGCCGGGGAATGCTTTTTTACATATCGAAACGAATTTCGGCTGGAATACAATGATTGCAAAAATAGTAATAGGCGAAACGCGCTGTCAGCCGGAGCGCAAATGGTGCAATCTTTTAGATTTTGCGCAAATTACAGTGGAAACAAAATCTTATGTTTTTATATAAATACCAAAAGCTGCGCAAAAATCGAAATGACACGTCGCGGAAAATTCGTAGTGAATAAGGTAAGCAATGCTAGAATACATTTCATTAGGGACACACCGGCACCACAGAGCACGGCGCCGCAACACTGCCACAATGTGAGCAGCAGCACACCTGCGCAAGTGGGTTGCGGACGGCCAGCTCCGCCACCCACGCTCACACTCACACAGAAGCTCGAATTCGTATTGACGCTGGTTAATCGGTTGCTAATCGGCTTCGTAACAGTTTACTTGTGTTGGATGAGTCTGCGTTTGGATAGCAAGGATATTCCATGGCATGCGGTGTTTTGTACACTAGGTGTAAGTAAGGGAAACAATAATTAGTTCACGGGAGGTATTAGGAATAAAATTCAAATATTTACCGTTTCCAGTTTCTCTGCTTGATGTCCGAAGGTCTAATGGCCTACTATCGTGGCAACGCTTGTACGCAGGTGTGTCAACGGTCGGAGAAGGCACGCTTGCATTGGGTGTTACAGTTGTGCGGCTCCATAATCGGTCTCATTGGCATTGTGATTAAAATGTGTTTGGAGGAGGTCCACTTTCACACGCGTCACGGCATCATAGGTGTGTGTGTGCTATGATGTATAATTATGTTTATTTGTTTGGTGGTATAAATACAAATATTTTCCTTTGCAGGTCTGGCTACCATGGTTATTTTGTTTATCAGCTTGTTAAGCGGTCTCAGCTCTCTTTACGCCGCCGAACTGAAGGGACGCCTACAACCACGCTTTAATAAAACATTGCACAATATTATTGGCTTAATTACGTTTACATTGGCTATGTTGAGCATGTATTACTCGTTCGAGACGCAACTATTTAACGATTACTCGTTAGACGCATCAACTTATATGGACTTTCGTTTGCTCTTGGAGATTACCACAATTATTATATTTGTGTTGACCGCTTATGGCCCTATGTGGTGCTTGTTTTATAGTCGTTTGTGAAGTAAACGGAGAGTTATTTAGTGAATAATAACGTTGAACATTAGAAAACAGTGTATAAAAGTGAAAATATACGATTTCAATTTTATAATATGAATCTAAAACAGATTTCTTTATGTCATAGCTCTTAGAATACACTATAAATATGTTAAATTTTTGCGTCCACATCAACAGTTGAGTAAACTAACTGCCCTATTGCAGAAGGCTACTGAATTATAGTTGCCGGTAGCCCAGTACTCTATAACATTTGAAAACTCGCAAAACAAAAAGATCAATCTTGACATTTAACATTTTGAAAATAATCGATAATATACAGAAAATAGCGACTTCCGACTCAATTGCTTGCGGTATGTATCCGATATCCATTTGTTATATGTATGTTGTACGAAACCAGTCGGTGCGCGGCACGCTCCAAGGTACAGTCGCAGTGGAAGAAAATCAGTCCTATTACATTCCGGACAAACCATGTATACAGACGCTGCAAGTGCAGTGGTTCTGGAGCCTATTTAGTCGAAAATATTCGGAGAAAACCAAAGCAACTTCGAGACTATTATATATTTTTATACCCTGAACAGGGTATATTAAGTTTGTAACACCCAGAAGGAAGCGTCGGAGACCCTATAAAGTATATATATATAATGATCAGTATGTTGAGCTGAGTCGATTTAGCCATGTCCGTTTGTCTGTATGTGTATATACGAACTAGTAGCTCAGATTTTAAGGTATCGTTTTGAAATTTTGCAAACATCATTTTCTCTTCAAGAAGCTGCTCATTTGTCGGAACTGCCGATATCGAACCACTATAACATATAGCTGCCACACAAACTGAACGATCGGAAAAAAGTTCTTGTATGGAAAACTTTCACATTTGACATATTTGGTATTGATTATTTTCTAAGTCAGCAATGTAATCTCCGAAGAAATTGTTTAGATCGGCTTACTATAGCATATAGCTGCCATACAAACCGAACACATTGTTACTAAACGAAATGCATCTGTGAAGGGTATACTAGCTTCTAACCACGATGAATTGTTGTGCTTAAAATGAATAAAACTCGCTCTAGTCCCAATATAACTAACACGTCCGGTTTTAATGCCCTATCGAACTTAGCTCTTCCAAGTTTTTTATTTTTTTTATTGAATAAAATTCCTCTTCAAAAAAAAGAAAAAAATATCCTTCTCCTTTTCTAGAAATCAAAACAGTTTATTTTTTATTTTGCATTTAGCTTTGTGCAGTTTTATTTAATTTGCGTATTATTTAATAAAAGAAGGTGTGTACAATAGTTGTTACGAATAATACTTTTTGCATGCCGCAAGATAAATTAATATGAATTCTCATCAAATACGCTGCAAAATAAATAAATAAATATCACGTATGTATTAAATAAAGTTTGTAAAAAAAATCGTAAATTCAGTTTATTCCGGACTTGGAGTGGTGAAATTACATAAATATTATACTTTAAATGAAAATAATGCATGTTTGTTTGTGTTGTATATGTATATGTAAATGTGCTGTGATGTCATGGATTTGTGAAAATGGACTTCAATTTTAGTTAAAATATTAAGTGATTTCAGGAGTATATAAATGTTGTATATAAAGCACTCGAAGGCATTTAGTCATCACTAGTCTAAAACTGATGTGTTTCAAAAAACGGTACAGTTAAAAATGAATTGGCTTGCTAAGCTCAGCTTAAGGGCTAACAAAGCTTATTTAATATAAATTTTTTTGTTCTTTTTAGAGTTGGTTGTAGTGTTATATTTGCCAAAAAATTTATTATTAGTTCTCATAACTGTAGGATGTTAAGTACAAATAAGTGAATTGCAATGGAAAAAATTAAGTTAAGTTATTTTGAATGAACAGTGAATAAATATTTTATTTTAGTGAACTAAAATTGCAGAAAATTAACGGTAATGCAGATATAGAACAAATTTTAATTATTAAAGGGCGCAGAATTACGCGCAGATATATTTCTTACAGCTTATTTTATAAAATCTTTCAAATACAACAGAACAACCATATTATTTATGCTTTCTCATATAAATTATATTTCGTGTGCGTTTAATTCGCATTTTACATTTTGGTGGTGCGCCTGATAGCAAATGACATGGAAATCGCTTCAATGTAACGACGCAGCGATGGTGCACCAACGCCGCCCTCGGCCGCGCCATAGACACGACCACGCATGCCGCTATTGCCAACATCAGCAACGATCCCAGCCTTTGCACCGCAACATTGCGGCTCATTGCAATAGCGACATGTTTTCGTTGAGAAGTAGCTGTTTTCACACTCGTCATCCTCCTCTTCCATGGCGTCGGTGATCTCATAATCCTCAGCAAAAACCTTAGCGCGCTGCTCATAACGTAGGTATAGGGTCAAACAGATGAAGAGCACAAAGAGTAGGGCACAAATGGCGCCGCTTGCAATACTCGCCTCTTCCAGCATTGGACGTGGTCGTTTCGGCAAGAAGGATGCATCGTACTCCTTGTACTCGCAGCGTGGCCCCATAAAGCCATTTGCGCACTCGCAATTATACATAACCGAGTCGCCCAGCTTAACCGAGAAGCAGGTTGCATCATTCAGACAATACCAAGCGTCGTAGTTCACAGGACATTTGTAGGTTGGGAAGGTGATGTTGGGTCTTGGTGTCGTTGTGGTAGTGGTGGTCGGCTCCGTGGTTGTGGTGGTGGTGGTAGTAGTTGTCGTAGCGGATGTTGTCGACTGTTGTGGCGAAAGCGATGAGGCGGCCGAGGAGAGCGTGCGTGGCTTGGGTATGGAACGACTAGAGCATGCATTAGCCGTAGTCGGCTGCTTTAAAAGGCAAGCGAGCACTAGAGTCAACGAGCAGACGCTAAAGAGTAGCGTGCATTTGCGCTTAAGCAAGGACATGATGTTCAGAATTAGCGTTTAGTTTGCTTATAGAAATTAAGTTACTTAATTAAGAGAATGTGTTCAATACTTGAGTGAGTGAGTGAATGAGTGTGGGATGTGTGAGTTGAAAACTTCTATCAGTTTTGGTTTTCGGTTCACAAAATACTGTTTATTGGAATGGAAATTGTTCGAAGTGGAATACAGTTGTTGTTCTGCTTTTTATTACTTAAAAAAATGGACGTGAAAACTTAAATTAGTTTCGATAACTTTTTTAAAATTTTATGTTTCGTTTACTTAAAATTCAAGATCTTTGATTTCAGTTACTTTTTCGAGGTTATTATTACAGTTAATACAGAAATATACATGCCCACATATAATATAAATTTTTTGTTAAAGACTTTCACAGCTTTTTCACTTCTGTTACAATTATATTTTTGGTTTAATATTCTACACTTTATGATGTGAATAGTGTAACTAGAACGTATGACTTTAATAAACAATTAAATCAAGTTGTTAAACTACTACTTGCTATCACAATTCTCGGACATGCACGCACATATAATGTTATAACGGTATTTTCACAGACTTTTAATACAATTAATCGGACTTAACTACACACACAGTTGTGTTTACAAAACACTTTATACTTATATTAACTATTTTAATAAATATTGTAAAAACAGGCAAAATTCGATGTTGAAAAGTGTTAAAAAATCAGTTAGTCCTTGTTGTTTTTGTGGTATACCTGCGAAAATAAGATTAAACGAATTACATTTTTTAAGCTATCTGTAACAAGTATAGTTCAAACAAAGTGAAAATCTTATATTTAAAAATAATAGAAAATGCTGAAAAATGAAAATAAATTAAACGTTAAACCAAAAACCACATTGTTTATGCTGAAACAGCTTAATAAAGAAAACCGTTAAATTCGCGAAAAACATTTTCATTTAAATTTGTTGACTTTCCGAAGTATGTCTAGGAATCCGTTACTTCTGAAGCCACATGAAATTGACCACTTGTTGAGTAAAAATTTAAATTACATAGTCAAGAAAAAAAAATGGACTACTAGGCAAAATTAAAAATATAATCCGGCTCCATAAACAACTAAACTCAATTTAAATAGTGGTTTTATTTTTTATTCATAAGAACTATCCAAAGCATTATGTTTTATGGGCTAAGGAATATTAAAAAGGTGCTGCCACATCTGACCCAGAAGCCAGACCTCAATCACATTGTACATATATAGAGACGAATTATTTTTTTTTTATTAATATTATTTTTTTTATCATATTAAATAGTACAATACGGATATGTTTAAAATATTCCCCAAAAATTTTAAGTCGATCCGAGTAAAATAAGATCTAAAGACAGATCCATTGGAAGTTCCACCCATCAGGCCACGTCGATGTAGCTCCATTTTTGATTTCTCGAAAAATTATGGACCGATTTAGTTAGAATTGTGTATACATCTTTAAAATAACATTATCTACATAGTTATTCAACGAAGGATATTTTTTATTTCCATTACAACTTATTTTTTAAGCAAAAAAGATTATCAAAAATTTAGATTTTTTATTCAAAGTCTGTAAAAAAAAAAAATTAAAATAAAAATGAAAGTACGAATCACTGCAGCAGTGAAAGACAAGTTTTTAGCGCCGCCGGACGTCGCGTGTAACTCGAAATTTAAAATTAAAAAAAATGTTTTTCTTTATTTCAAGTTATCTACAACTTAACTACCCAAATAAAAATAGCTAAAAATCCCCAATTACTAATTGGTATTCTAAAGTCATTATACATTAAGGACCTTTCGAGAAAATAATATGCGTCATACATAGGCATAGTGCATAGAACTATTAGTTTGTCATACATATGTATGTATGTATGGATATTAGAGAAAGTACCGCGTGTTCGGCTCACTGACGCAGCACTCATTCATTCAGGGGCATAGTACAGCAATACTCACGGCGTCACAACCAGCGATTCGCTTTAAATTGCCAATGACTAAGATATGACGTATGTATGGCATGTATGTGTATTTAGCTGCAAACATTACAAATGTGCGATAAGCGTAAAAATTTTGAATGAATTGTAAATAAAAATAGGTAAACACAAATCGGTGCATTCGATGACTGTGTGAAAATGCAGGAATGGATGGATGATTCTTTCAACATTTTTGGAAATTCGCTTTATTCATTGTTTTTGCTCGTTCCTGCAATTTAATTCCTTTTCTAATTTTGTATTTAACAATTTTCTTGCAATTTAATTTATTTAATTTTTTTTTGGCTGAATTGTTATTGATTGAATTTTAACCAAATCACTAACGAATTTTTCGCTTACTCATTTTCTTTTTAAACACCAAATTTTATATTTTCTATTTAGCACATACATATTTTCAAACCAATTCATTATATTTTTTATAATCACATTTGTTTCTAATTAGCTTTTTGTAGAGCGCTGTCCCCCGTTGATTATCCTAGCTCATCAAAGCTGGCTGTGATATGCGTTGAGAATCCATATCACAACCACTTGATGAGGCTTAGATAAGCAACATTTTATGGCCACTTTTTACTTTCAACTTTTTGTTGTTTCGTTTTTTTTTTCTTATTATTTTYATTTTTGCATTATTATTATTTTAAATGACATTTCCAAGCTGCAAGCGCCGGTTAACCAAGTTGATGGTTGATGATGTTGACATTTATGCAATTTATGGAGAATGGAATATCCTGCAGCGTTTCGTGTGTGAGCACAGTGTGTTTATGGTCGCGCTCTGTATGTGTGTGTGTACGCGCACCACTTGTATGTATGGGTGTGTGTGTGTGTGTGTGTGTGTGTGTGTATGAATGTGCTTTGTAATTGCATGTTATTCGAGTGAGTGGTAATCTTTTTTGTGACAGATTTTAATGATTGTTGGTTTAGGTTGGTTGGTACTTGGTTTTGTTTGGTGCAGCTCTTAGGAAGACGTCCAGCTAAGCTCATCAAAGCTGGCTGTGATATGCAGTTTCAAATAGAGCATTTCACAACCACTTTGTGAGATTTAGACAAACGTATTTTGTTATTGTTGTGATATATAATAAACTATAAGGCTGTCTACTTGGTATGTGTTGTTGTGATTATGGCGAATGAATTACTAATATGAAATGCGTAATTTATAAAAACAAAAATTTCAATTTTTTACCAAACCAATTTACAAATTTTTGTTGAAATATGGTGATAACATAATTTTTAAAGCTGATTGTGCACTTTTCACATGTTCCAAATCGAAGACGAATTTTTTTTCTTATAAAATTTTTTTTTATTTTTCTTATAAACTTTTATTTATTTTTTTGTTTCTTCAAAAAATTTCACGAAAATTTCTTATAAATATTTTTATATATTTATTTTTTTTATAATTTTTTCATTTTTCTTAAAAAAAAAGTTACGAAAATCTGCAATTTTTCGCTTATCATTTTTAATGTCTCCGCTAATGCTTTAGAATCGCGACGCTCCTCAAAGCTGGCTGTGATATGAATTTCAAAAATGTATTTTAAGCAGAAAATGTCAACATTTCGCAGCCACTTTGAAGAATGACACAATTCTATCAGTAAGTAAAGGCATGGTTCTTTTCTTTTTCTTAATTTATAAAATATCAAACAAAATTGCGCCAAATTCAAATGAATTTACTGGCGAGCGGTAACCACCAAGTGCGCTGTTAACATCCATACAAATATAAAACAAAACTTAGAACTTTAGATTTTAGCAGTGTTTTCATTGTCTTCGCCGCGATGTTATTAAAGATTTGAAAGTCAGCATCAACTTTGATAAAACATAAAATAAACACGCGTCACACACATTTGTATGTACAACTAGCAATTCGTAATTTCAAAAATGTTCGATAAGTATAAAGACAGTGTGGCCAAAAAAAAATTGTATGCTTTATAATCTTGCTCCATATCAAGGTTAAAGTCAAATTAGTACAAATTTCAAAACAAAAAAACAAAAACAAAAAAAAATCTAAAAAAATATAACTAAAAAGAATTTCACCGCACGGATGAGAATTTTTCACTGATTCTTTTTTTTTTTTTTTATAAAACTTCGCTTTGAACAGTTGATAAGAAAAAAAAGGAAAAAGTTCCAGCATAAAGCAACCACAGAAATGTATTATTTCGCTTGTCACTCAACAAGTCACCGGAGCGTACGTAGTGTCAGCAGCATACAGATACAGTATATGTGTATCACATACAAACATACATACGTTAATGAAGATGACAAAATTAGAGAAGCGAAAGAGATTCCGGTAACTACTATAATACCCCCCGTCTTAACTCATATATCTAGAGAATGATTACGAAAACATATACATTTTGACATACAAACATACATATGTACATACATACATATGCTACAGATTCTCTTCTTAGTAGTTCATATTGTAATTTTAATTAATTTAAATATTAATTTTTTGATTTTATTAGACTATGTTTTATGTTTCCTGGCAAACTCATAAATAATAAACTTTTTGTTTCATAATTGAAAAATTATTTTAAAAACACTATTTACAGCTTCAAGCAAGTGTTGCGAATTGAGAAAGCTTGTCAGAGTGGATCACTTGTTGCTCAATGACAGTATTTTCATACAAAAAGTGCACTAGAATTTAGTTTAGCACACTTGTAATTAAAAAATAATTGAATCCGAGTAATGCAACACTTGAAAATATATGCAAAATGTCGCTTATTAAATATTTACGAATATTTCATCATCACTGGTCGGACAAATTGTTTCAAAAGTGAGAAGAATGCGGCGCTGAGCTTTATCATGGCGCGACGCGACGCGTAATGGCGGACGTACATAAATTGATTCACCGGCGCAATGCCGGCGCAATTTAGTGACTTTTGGACTGCATTGAGAATTTAAAAATATCACACAATATAAGAATCGAATCATATCATTCAGACAGCGCGTACCAAGTTTAATGGACGGTGGTGAAGCGTTAATAATTAAGCCGACGCTAGGCAATTTCCCGAGACGATAGCAAAAATCATTTCGTTCCATATTATAATTGATTTATAATAAAAATACGAGTATAGATTCCAGAAGAAACTCAAATAAAGTTACAAATGCGCGAAAAGTGACAGCAAGCATCCCTTGACCCCACCAGTCATTCACACATGACAGCCGCTGAATGCGTGCAAGCGATGGTTGTAGATTTCAACATCATATTAAATGTGCAAAAATAATACATACACTACATATGTACATATGTACAGCTATGTTTGTATACTCGTATATGTATATGAACATAATTTTTTTTTTGGCTGAACGAATTGTTCATCCGTCCCGAATAAATGAATGTATATAATGACATGATGTTAAGCATTTTGGCTTATAACAGCTGACGTGTGTTAAACAAATTGTCACAGATTCATTTACCTTGGTCATTAGCACAATTTTGCTTGTCAGTGTGAACGAGAATTAAGCGCGTGTTTAAATAGCCGTTCCTAGGTGAGTTGTTTCAATGTATTTTGCAGATTGAGCACAAAATAATGCCAATCAAGATCGATTTTTATACGCTGACCGGGATATATTAAGCTTGCCAAGAGGTTCAGGGTATATTTAGTCAGACTCGTCTTTTTGTGAATACATACGCAAACCAGTTAAGGAGTTAACGATCTGAAATTTTGCACACATTCTTTTCTCCACAAGAAGCTGCTCACTTTTCGGAACTGCAGATATCCGATCACTTATATGCTATAGTGCTGCCATACAAACTAATAGCTCAAAATTAAGTTTTTGTATGGGAAACTTTTTTACTAGACGATATATCTTCACGAAATTTGGCATGGGTTATTGTCCAAGGCAGTGGTACAATCTCCGAAAGAATGGTTTAAATCGAATCACTTTAGCATTTACATATCTGTTATACAAACTGAAGGTTCAAAATCAAGATTTTGTATGGGAATCTTTTTTATTAGACGAAATTTGGCATGAATGATGATCCAAGGTAACGGTACAAACTTCGAAGAAATAGTGGATGACACCGGACCACTAATCATCTACGAAAACGTATTGCCTATATGTTACATCAATGCAAGAAAGAAAAAAATTATTAATTCATGCTTAGCAACAGTTAAATGTTTTTATGTGTTTGTGTGTAGGTCAAGATCAGCACAACTGTACTTGGAACACATAAATACAAGTACATACATCCATACATATGTATATGTACACGCAGTACATGCTTTCACCACTATTCGCAGTCGCTTCTTATTTGTTTTGTTGTCTTCGCATGAGCTCATGATGATCGGCTTGATCTTATGATGTTAATCTGAATACGTTGACGCGTTCCCATTTTTGCAGACGGTTTTTTCATCTTTCTTCTATGCCACTACAACTTTATTAATAACGTCTTGCTTTTGGCGGCTTTGTTTTTTCACAAATTTAACACAGAATATTAAGTAGTTATGCCGAATTGGAACAAGCGTTGACAATAGTGCGCAATCTAAAGAAGCAAGCGATATGCCTTTAGTCAATTTATTAATTCAATGACTTTGAATATCTTCAAGCGACCTGCGCGTGGAATAACAGATATTCAGACATACATACATATATGAATCAACACACACAGTTAGTTGAAAACCACACGCATTTGGAATTTTGCCGAATTCGCTAAATAATAAAAAATAAAGTAAATGTAAAAATGTTGTTATTGTTGTTTTATATATTCATTGATATCTTTCTTTGTAGTTAACAAGCATCGTCTATAATAAAGCGACACGCGCATGAATATTTTCGAATTCTAATTGTCCGAATACGCTCTGGCAACCGAAAATGGGGCCTAAAAAAGACGTCACTCCAAATAATTCAATAACTGGCGCGAATACATGCTTTTGTCCGCCCAACACATCCAGCTAGACGTAGCGATTATAATCGAGGTGAGGTGTGTGGACAAATGACGACTATTAATATTGTCAATTCAATTTATTTAAAACGCAAAAAACGCAAAACGCGAGAAATATAATAAACGACATGTAGGTGCGCATATGTATGTATGCATTCCGTGCCTTCGACAGGTGTATAGGGTGAGCTTTGTAGCCACTTGCTGCTTGCTTGTTGTTATTGTATTACAGAGCGGTGATAAATTACATGGCGAAAGTTGATTGCTTGCACTTTCTTAACACAAATAATATAATAATACATATTTTTTATGTGCTGCGTAACTTATTGTAAACCATTTTATATATATATTTTTTCAAATTATTTTTATCAGTTAACATTTTTTATAATTAAGTGCTCTGCAACATTAGTCAAATATTGAACTTTTACGTTATTTTTTTTAGTTTTTACTTCAGGTGTAGGAAAGTGTGTCTACTGACCCCGCACACGCACCACCTTACGGCTTCAAACTAAACGGCACAAATTGAGTATTGAATGAGCGAACTCAAATCTTTGGAATGCCAAGCGCACGCGCGCACACAACGACAACAACCACCACCAACACTTCAAATACACACTGAAAACACAACACGTAGCCGAACAGCGCGGATAAAATTTAAACTATGCAGTCATAACGGAAATTTCTTACTTGCTGCTACAACAATGCGACGAACGCGCCATACAAACACGACGAACGAACACCACAGCGAGCGGCAAAGCGCTAAAAGGTGCGGCTTGTTTGCAAGGAATATACTTATGTATTTATATGCAACAACACAAATTAAGCGCTGATCGTTTGTTTTGTGGCCCCAATGGTGCACCACCACCATGCGCGTCATACAACGTCCCACTATTCAAGCGCGCCACGCGACAATACGATGTGTACGCTATGACAAGTTACGGATTAATGAATGAATGAATGAGTAGTGACGACGACAACGGCGGCGACGACGGCCACAACAGCGTACACATGAATGAGTCTCTGCACCCGCCACCGCCGCCGTCGCATCGTCGCCAACACACAGCCAATACCAACAAAGCGCCAGAGTA